TATTCTTAAGTAAAGTTAATGGACTTTAAAGAAAAAGGAAAATAAATCTTGGCATGTAGGTAAAAGGAGCAAGTCTATCATTTTGCCTTATTTTCTTGTATATCAGGTAACCTATAACTTCTTTCTGGTCATTGACCTTTAATAATTATTTATGGAGTTCTTTGAGGCCTAGATATGTACATGCTGAATTAGAGAGGCTCTAAGCTTGGTTCTGCCAGGTGCCTGATACACTACCATCTACAACGCTTCAAACCAAAGTCAAGGGCTGAGAGCCCCAGATACAAGTCTCCTCAGTGGAAGGTCTGAGGCCATAGGCTCTGGGGACAGCACCTTTTCCTTCTCTTTTCCACTTCCAGCCTAAACAGGAAGCTGCCCCCTCAGTAGTTACTGGAGGTGCGAGGAGGGTCAGATCAGGTTCACCCATACCTTGAATGCCTTAACTCCTGGGAGAGAGGTGGTGAGGTCAACTTAGGGAGATTTTCCCCTCCTCCTAATATGGAAAATTCCTGGTTTGGAAACTTTGTCTCTTTGGACTTTATGGACTAAATCGTGTCTCCTCCTCCCCCTCCCACAAATTTGTATCTTGAAGCTGTAACTCTCAATGTGACTATTTGGAGATGGGGCCTTTAAGGAGGTAATTAAGGTTAAGTGAGGTCACAAGGGTGGGACCTAATCCAATAAGACTGGTGTTCTTCTAAGAAGAGGAAAAGACACCAGACATCTCTCTCTGTCTCCGTGCACATGCACAGAAGAAAGGTCACAGAAGGACACCAGGAGAAGACAGCCCCTGCAAGCCTCAGGAGAAAGCAAATCTGCCAACTCCTTGATCTCGGACTTCCGGCCTCCAGAACGGTGAGCAAATACATTTCTGTTGTTTAAGCTACTCAGTCTGTGGTGCTTTGTTGTGGCAGCCTATATGTTTTTTGTTCTATACTCTCAACACTTTACTTCCAGGACACTTCTGACACCAAATGTGTCAAACACATTTGACACTTCTGACACCACATTTTTCCCCATACCAACCAATTTTCTGATACCAGCTGGGTAGCGTAAAATTCAATTCAATTAGGACACTAACCAGAGTGAGCACAGACTCCACAGGTGAAGGGCTCAATCCCACAAGGCTGCCCCCACTTTGGATGCCAATCACAAGTATTAGGTCACCAGGTTACTGGCAACTTCTGTCTGATTTGGCTATAAAGCAGAGATTCTCACAACCCCTTTCTTGGGTTTGGTCATTTGCTAGAGTGAGCAAATCATTCAGGAAAACAATTTAATTACTAGATTATCTGTTTATCTCAAAGGATATAACTCAGGAATGGCCAGGTGGAAGAGATCCGTAGGATAAGGTATGGGCAAGGTGCTTGGAGCTTCCAGACCCTCTGGGCTTGCCACACTCCACGTGTTCAGCAACCCATAAGCTCTTCAAACACTGCCCTTTGGGTTTTTATGGAGGCATCATTATGTAGTCATGATTGATTAAATCACTGGCCATTGGTGATCAACTCAACCTCAGCCCCTCTCCCCTCCCTGGAGGTGAGGGGATACAGCTGAAAGTTCCAATTTTCTAATCACTGGTTCCCCTGGCAGCCAGCCCACATGCAGAGGTTATCCAGGAGCTTCCAGCCACCAGTCATCTTACTGGCGTACACAAAAACACTGATCACTCTAGAGATTCCAAGGGTTTTAGGGGCTGTGTGCCAGAAACTGGGAGCAGACTAATATATAATAAGAAATATGTAATAATATCACAGTCCTAGCAAACTGATACGTCATAATTTGTGATCCTAATGTCTCAAAATGGAGTCAGTCATGTCAAAAAGCATTAAGCCCATAGTGAAGTTGTTCCACCCCCTCTCAAAGTGATAAGCGTGTATATAGTGAACTGAGGTGATAAGTGAACACCTGCTGCTGCCTGGTATTTCCTGAAATGAACTGATAAGAGAATGAAAGGTTGGCTGAGATAAAGAGAACAGACCCATCTGGGAGGATCATAAAAGCAGCCAGGACCTGGCCTTGTTCAAAAAGCCTTTGGAGGCTCTGCCCATGAGAACTCTGGAACCTTCTCCCGATTTTAGCAACGGCTGCTAGAAGCTCTGCAAGAGAGAAACAGCGATGCCTGCTTCTGCTGGCCAGTGCCTGAATGACTTCTGGATCCACTCGGCTCATCTGTTGATGTGTTGGTCTCTGGAGCCATCGTTGTGGTTTGTTACCTCCCTTTTATTACTGCCTGTGTGTTGAATATTAGTCGAGTGACTGATGGAGTATGAAGGCCTCGAAATAAATTGGGAATTCGAGAACTGCTAATTGGCTATCGTGAAACTTCCCACCTTAGGGCAGAGTCACCACATCAAGGCTGAAGGAACCTAATTAACCCAACACGGGCTAAGACACTGGCCCTAGTGGGATGGAACTAGAGCACAGGAACGAGTGTTTGAAAAGTCAGCATTTGCCTTCAGAGCATAAGAGACTTGGCACTGACACTCCCCTTATATTTCTGGTCACAGGCTTTCACTTAAAATTGGTCTTGGGAGTCTCTCACTGTGTTTTCAGATCCTCAGTGTTTTCAAGGTATGCTTTTTCTTTAAACCAGCATTTTTAGTGCTTTTAATTGGTTACTTGATCCAAATAACCTAGGCCACCCTTAGCAGAAACCACCGGCCCCATTCTTTTATTTTAAACCTTTCTGTGTCCTGATGTTTTAGATGAGTTAATTATAAATAGCACATAGCTTTAAGTTTTTGATCTAATTATTATTGTCTTCAAACTGTAGCATCAAATCCATTTACATCTGTTAGAATCACTGATATATTTAGATTTAAATCTGATTTTGTGCTTTATATTTGTCCTCCTATCAATGCCATATTTCCTTTTTTATATCCTTTCTTGCTTTGTTGGGAGAAGATAGGCTGTCTTCTTTTTTTAAAATTGCAGTTTGAATGCAAGATAAACTCTTTCTTATTATTAATTTATCTAGCTCATGATTCTGTGGGGCAGCATTTTTTTTTTTAACTGGACTTAACTGGGTGGTTCTTTTGTTGGCCTTACCTGCTGATAGCTGATGGCTCCATTCAAATATCTGGTGGTTTACTGGCTATTGGCCAGGGTGGGGAGATGGACCATGTGTCTCATCATTCAGGAGGCTAGCCAGAGATTATTCACATGATGGAGGTGTGAGGGTTTCCAAAAGCAATAAAAGAGCAAGTCTCAATACACAAGCACTTTTCAAATCTCTGCACGTTTCATGGTTGCTATTGTTGCATTGGCTAAACCAACTCACATGACCAAGCTGAGGTGGATTCAAAAGATGGGGGACACAGATGCCACCTCTTCATGAATGTGCAAAGGAAAGCAAAGGGATGTGCATAAAATGACAGGACGAATTTGTAGCCATTTTCACAAATGACCACAGATTTCAAATTCCCAAAAGAGGTTTATGGATTCTATGTTATCACAATAAAACCTTAATGCATTTTATTGTGGAGCTTGATGAGAAAACTCACTCTATCAGATATTAAGACATAGTGTAAATGCATAGTGTATCAGTTTCTTATTTGTGCAGGAATAGACAAATAGGAATAGAAAAGAGAGCCCAGAATCACACCAATGCATTAATAAGCACTTGATTTACGACGTAAGGAACTGCAAAGCTGTGAGGAAAGGATCACCTCGTTAATGATTGGTGTTGTACAGTTGGCTATCCAGTTGCTAATCCAGTTTTTCTAGTTGTAAAAGCCAGTTCCGAAAACCTAATAACAGGCGACTTTTTGTTCAGGATATTCATGCTATTTGACTGGAAAGGGATGTAATTTCACTTATTAAAATAAGCCTATAATCCAGACTTTCAATAAATCAAATGAATGGCATAGGAACCAGTGATTTTCAGTATTTGCCGTCAACCTTCACTTCATCAGAGATGTGTTCTTACCTCATTCCTTTCATACCAGCTAACATTCTGCATTTTGGAGAATTGCTGGGATCGCTTCACCACAAAGTAAATGAGGTACCCACTTCCACACAAACAGCAGATGATGAGAAAGTTGGCCAGGACACGAAGAAATCTTGTCAGATGGATATTTTCTTCTTTGTTACTCTCTTGTTCATCCACTATTGATTCCTTAATGTGTGAAAATGAGAGGTGCATAAATGTCAGGCCAGAAATGCCAGAACCATGGCTGTTGGGTCCCTGAAAATAGTACTTTCTGTATTTCCAGAAATGAAGTAATACAGAGGAGATGATGTAATGCCCTGTGCCCTATGGAGAATTATTTTCTGTAAAAAATACGTTTGTTGTTACTGCTATTCCAGTACGTATAAGAAAAACTTAGATTTCTTAAATAGTCACCATGAGTCAGACATGGTACTTTCCATGCATTGTCCCTCTTTTTTTCTTTTTTGAGACGGAGTTTTGCTCTTGTTGCCCAGGTGGGAGTGCAATGGCACAATCTCAGCTCACCACCTCCCGGGTTCAAGTGATTCTTCTGCCTCAGCCTCCCGAGTAGCTGGGATTACAGGCATGCGCCACCACCCCTGGCTAATTTTATATTTTTAGCAGAGATGGGGTTTCTCCATGTTGGTCAGACCAGTCTTGATCTCCTGATCTTAGGTGATCTGCCTGCCTCAGTTTCCCAAGCTGCTGGGATTACAGGCATGAGCCACTGTGCCCGGCTGCATTGTCCCTCTTAATCCCAGCAACAAACCAGTAGAATCGTTACTGTTATTGCCCATATTACAGACCCTAAGGCCCAGAGAGATTTCAGTAACTGATTGGGACTAAGTCTATAGGTCAAATAGATTCCAACTGAATCTTAAAATATTGAGTCTTCTAATCGAGGGTTGGCAAACTCATTTTATAAAAAGCTAGATAGTATTTTTGGTTTGCTGGTCATATGATCTGTCTCACAACCACTCAACCATTGTGGCATGAAAGCTACCATAGACAAGGTGTAAATACATTGGAATGCTTTGTTTCGATAAAACTTTATTTGTAAAAGTAGGCAGTAGGCTGGATTTGGCTTGTGGGCCATAGTTTGCCAACCTCTGTTCTAATCCATCAGCATAGTGTATCTTCCATTTACTTAGGGTTTCTTAATTTCTTTCAGCATTATTTTATACTTTTGGTGTAATGGTCTTGTACATTATTTTGGCTAAATTTATACTTAGGAATTTTATGGTTTTTTTGGGTACTATTATCAATAGAAATTAAACTTTTTTTCTTTTTTTTTTTCTTTCTTTCTTTCTTTCTTTTTTTTTTGAGACAGAGTCTCACTGTGTCGCCTAGGCTGGAGTGCATGGCGTGATCTCAGCTCACTGCAACCTCCGCCTCCTATGTTCAAGCGATTCTTCTGCCTCAGTCTCCTGAGTAGCTGGAATTAGAGATGCCCACCACTACACCCGGCTATTTTTTCTATCTTTAGTACAAGCAGGGTTTCTCTATGTTGTCCAGGCTGGTCTCGAACTCTTGACCTCAGGTGATCCACCTGTCTCAGCCTCCCAAAGTGTGGGGATTACAGGTATGAGCCACTGTGCCGGGCCTTAAACTTATTTTCTAATTGTTTTCTGTTAGTATATAAAAATTGATTTTTGATTATTAAACTTGTGCCCTAGACACAGAGAGTAAGTGGTAGAACCAGGATGAAAAATGAACTCTCCCAGACCCCAAAGTCTTAATTCACAGAATTTTCACCTCTATTCTGTTATACAAGTATATTATGTCTCTTTTAATAAACTCACAAAATAAGTCATTTTACTTCTCACATGTTCAAAGTGTTTCAAAGACATTGATCTCCTTTGTCCCTTTCTCACAGTCCTGGAGGAAAAGTCGAAGCCCCCAATCACCCCTACCCTGGCTTTGGATGGAAGTGGCCATAAGCCCCCCATTGCTGTAAGAAGAAGGAGAGGAGACAGAGTCAGCTCCCTGCTCCATGCACTACAAAGCCCACCGGGCTCTAGGCTGGGAAACCCATGCTGTGAGTTGCTGAGCTCAAGCCCTTTTCCTAGTGGGTGTCCCTGCCATCTGCAGGCATCAGTCAGTGGATAGCAGGAAGGAATTCAAGAGAGGAGAGGGACAAAGAAAAGAGAACCAAGCACAGTTGCAGTGTAAATGTGAGCTTCGCTAGGTCCTGGGGGAAACTGATCAGACAGGAGAAATATTGAGCCATAAAGAACTTGACATGGGAGCTGGATGCAGTGGCTCACACCTGTAATCCCTGTGCTTTGGGAGGCCAAGGAGGGAGGATTGCTTGGCGCCAGGAATTTGAGACCAGCCTGAGCAACATAGTGAAAGACCCCATCTCTACAAAAAATAGAAAAATTTAACTGAGCACGGCACTCCAGCCGGAGTGAGACCTTGTCTCCAAAAAAAAAAAAAAAAAAAAAAAAAAAAAAAAATTTGATTAAAGAAGAAAAAAGGAAGAACTTGGAATGGTTTTTACAATCACAGGGGCAAAGTACACCGTGCAGTGCTTCAGCATTACAACTTTGGCCTTCATTCATTTGCTTCCCAGCTGGATGGTTATTTTATATGAGCTATAGTTCTACAGGCCTCCTCAAACCTCTCTTGTAAAGAAATTATTTGTATGTGGATTGAAAGGAACATAGGGTTAATTTCATCTTTTTTTTTTTTTAACATCTCATTCATTCATTCATTCATTCATTTTGAGCCAGAGTCTCACTCTGTCACTCAGGCTGGAATGCAGTGATGTGATCTTGGCTCACCACACCTTCTGCCTTTTGGATTCAAGCGATTCTCTTGCCTCAGCCTCCCGAGTAGCTGGGATTGGCAGGTGGATCATTTGAGGTCAGGAGTTTGAGACTAGCCTGGCCAAAATGGTAAAACCCCATCTCTACTAAAAATACTTTTTGTTTTTTTAATATGCAAACCCAACCACTCAATTATACATATGTTTCAACTGCAACTTAGAACTCTACAGTAGTCCTTTATTTATCATGCACCCTCAGAAGGGCTTTTCTGCTTTGTTGTACTTTTTTTTGGACATGTACACACAGGAAACTTTCTGGCTCTTTCATAATCTCATGGAACTGTGTTTTGTTTTGTTTTCAGAACGCCCCATGCCTGTTTTTATACCAGTCGCATAAATAAACAACACCCAGTCTCACTGGACAATGATGGAAACTTTGTCAGCAGCACTTCATATATATATTTTAAAAATCTCTTGTTTAGAAAATAAATTGTGATTTTAAAGTAGAGACATGGGCCGGGCACGGTGGCTCACACTTGTAATCCCAGCACTTTGGGAGGCCAAGGCGGGCAGATCACTTGAGGTCAGGAGTTTGAGATCAGCCTGGCCAACGTGGTGAAACCATGACTCTACTAAAAATAAAAAAAAATTAGCCGGGCGTGGTGGCGTGCACCTGTAATCCCAGCTACTCAAGAGGCTGAAGCAGGAGAATCACTTGAACCCAGGAGCCGGAGGTTGCAGTGAACTGAGATTTTGCCACTACACTCCAGCCTGGGTGACAGAGCGACACTCTGTCTCAATAAATAAATAAATAAATAAATAAATAAATAAATAAATAAAGTAGAGGCAAGGTCTGTGAAGGAACCCTCTCAGTCAGAATCCTACATACTTGCAAAGGTTTGCCCACCTCAGCCCCTGTAGGACTGATCTGCGCAGACCATATTGCTAGCCTTCCATCACCAAGCTTTCACTCTGTCTCCCTTTCTCTCTCTTGGTTATTTTCCAACTACCAAGTTCAAATCCTTTTTTTTTTTTTTCATTTCAACAGTTTTCTGGGGAACAGGTGGTGTTTGGTTACATGAATAAGTTATTCAGTGGTGATTTCTGAGATTTTGGTGCAGCCATCAGGGTTGATTTCTTTATTCCCACACCTCCAAACCAGGATTCTCAACTCTTTCTGGGTATTCTAATCACTTGGGGAGTTTTTGAAAAATCAATGTCAGGACCCCACTCCAGGCCAGTTATATCAGAGTCTCTGTTAGTGGATCCCAGGAGACCTTTTAAGCTCCTTGGGTGATTCTAGCACGCGGAAAAGGTTGAGAAATGCTTTCCCCAAATGCATCCTTCCACTTATTCCAGCAGAAAGGTGTTTCATGTAGAAACAGGCAGCCCCAGGTCTCAGCATCCAGGATACTCTGTCATATTAAGAAACAGACAGGCTGGGCGTGGTGGCTCATGTCTGTAATCCCAGCACTTTGGGAGGTGGAGGAGGGCGGATCACTTGAGGTCAGGAGTTCAAGACCAGCCTGGCCAACATGGTGAAACCCCATCTCTACTAAATATACAAAAAAATTAGCCGGGCGTTGTGGCGGGCCCCTGTAGTCCCAGCTACTCGGGAGGCTGAGGCAGGAGCATCGCTTAAGCCTAGGAGGCAGAGGTTGTAGTGTGCTGAGAGCACACCACTGCACTCCAGCCTGGGCAATGGGAGAGAGACATTGTAAAAAAAAAAAAAAAAAAAAAAAGAAAGAAAGAAACAAAGAAAGAAAGAAAAGAAACAGGCAGTGGGTACCAGCCACGAGCACTCTTACTTAAGGGCTTGAAAACTGGGCTCACATTTCTGGGAAGGCTCTTGCCACAAATTATTTGAGGACCTTATTTTCTGTGTCCCAGCTGGGAGAAGTCTTTCAATGATCAGAGGGACCTAGAGTTCCCCCGGAAGTGGGAACTGCCCTGGGGTGACTACCTTGAAGCTGGTGGTGATGGAAACATATTTGTTGTCAGCTGTCTCTGAATTCCCGATCAGGTAGTCCCAGCTGGTGAACATCTTGAAGCTGAATGTGAAGTTGTCACTCTCCCCTTCGCCTGTGCTTCCTTGGGTATTGCTGGCCATCCTGTAGGGCACACAGGACTGTTGCAACGTCTGCCCTCTTTCTGCTGTGTCACCCCCAGGGAATCTTGGTCTAAGCCAGTCTTGGACACAGGTAACAGATGAACAGGTAGCTGACATTCAGCGACAAAACAAGCCAGGCAGGGACTTGAACCAAGACAGCTTTTAGGATAGCCAGGGCACCTTTCCCCACAAATTCAGAGTCCCCTGCAAGCACACATGGTGTCAGTTAGGTAATAAAAGGCCTGCAGGAGACAGGACACGTGACCATGTTTTCTTCCCTATACCTAATTTCCTGTGGCTTGACTCACCTGCAAATGCAGTTTGAGAACTCTTTACTGGGAGTCTATTCTCAAACAGGAGCATTCCCTTCTACGCCATCTATTTGCTTGGATAGAACATATCTATATATATTTCTGATATAAAATGCAAAACACACTGAGGTGGCTGGTGCTATTTTGTTGTGCTACTTTTTTTTTGTTTTGTTTTTGGTAATAGAGTCTCGCTCTGTCATCCAGGCTGGAGTGCAGTGGCCTGATCTTGGCTCACTGCAGCCTCCGCTTCCCAGGTTCAAGCGATTCTCCTGTCTCAGCCTCCTGAGTAGCTGGGATTACAAGCACCTACCACGACACCTGGCTAATTTTTTTGTATTTTTGGTAGAGATGGGGTTTTGCCATGTTGGCCAGGCTGGTCTTGAATTCCTGACCTCATGTGATCTGCCTGCCTCGGCCTCCCAAAGTGCTGGGATTACAAGTGTGAGCCACCACACCTGGCCTGGTACTACTTTTAATTTCAAAACCATCAATTACTTTTGCACCATCCTAATACAATCAGGTCATATATCCTTTTCTTAAGCAAGTTTGGCTGAAAGCACTTTGGACCTTCCTATTTCATCCTACCTGTCTTCAACCTATGCTCCCTAGAGTTTGACCCTGTGGGAATCACAGAATTCCAAGCAGGGGTGCTGTAAGATACAGGGAGGGGTTTGTCATCTTCCCTAATATGTTGGCTTTCTGGATTTGCTGTTCCACAGGGCTTAGTTAGCTTTTTTGGTTTGTCACAAAAACATTCCCTATTTCTATACTTATCTGGGGTGAGAACATGGAAAAAGCAACAACATGAGGGCTAAGAATAAAAGCACGCCTGTCTCCTTGTTCTGTTCCTTTTGCCTGATAGCGCTGTGCAGTCCGAGATCACCCAGTGGTCACTGTTGGGTGATGGGCAGGGCCTTGTGAACAGCAGCATTTCCGCCTGAGACCATGTGGTAGAAAGCCAAGCCCCGCGTCCCCATTGCCCTTTCAGGGGCTCTACCCAGGCTTCACCCTACCCAGAGCTCCACTCCTCTCCTGGAGGCACAGCCACCCACACTGTTTTGGGAGAAGCGACCCCTCATGTCTGTGCTGAAGGGAGAGCGGACCCGGGTGGATAGGTTTGCGTAGGAGACAGTGCCTTCCACCCCGCAACCCCCAGCCACAGCTGATGGGGTCCCCTGATTCTGAAGAAGGCGATCAATCCATGGGCTGGGCCACGTTTTTTTCTTCAGAGAATATGAATTAAGTGTTACAGACATATTAAAAGGCCACTTCTGACCACAGAGACAAGTAGAGTTGGGGCCAGAGAGGCCGCCATGGTTAATCATTGCCACATATGTTTATTTAGTATAAGTTTATTGGTTGTATCTTTCTATATGCCAGCCTTGGTTCTGACACACAAGGTAGAGTTTGGAGGAGCAGAAGAGTTTTTTGGAGGAAGCTGAGCTCTGGAGAAAAGCAGAAACAGGCCTGACAAACCTCCAGCCCTACCTTACCAGGTACTATGCTCCCTCTCAAGCCACACTGACCTTTTGGCAGTTTGGGGCAAACACTATGCTATTTGCTGCCTCAGGGCCTTTGCATATGCTCTTCTTTTGTCTAAAATGCTGCTCCCCAGAATTTCAGCATGGCTGGCGTTCTCAGCCTCATCCAAAGGGGTAGTTTCAATCCTGTTTCCCAGAACATCCCACATGACCTGGTTCAGGTCTTTCATACCAAAAATTATAATGTACATATGCTTTCTGTGTTCATTTCCTGTTTTCTCTCTGAATGCCCCACCAGAAGGGAGGTAGGCATAGAGTGGCCAGGGGAGTGAGCTGTGGTTGTGAAGTCAAAGCCTGTAGATGAGACGGTCATACTTACGATCGAATAACAATCATCAGGCTGTAGCCGAACACGCTGACCCCCACCATAAAGTAAGCCATAGGCAGCCGGTACCTCAGCCACCCGATGGTCCTCTGGTTGTTGTAGTAGCCATAGAAGAGTGCAGAGTACTTGATATAGCCCTGGGGACAGCAAAGCCAAATGCTCTGGGTTGATAAGCTCAGAGCTGGTGGTCACCAGACACGTCCATTCTACCAGGGATTTCTTTCTCAGAGTCTTAACTGAGTCTAAGGGGCCAAAGGAAGAGTTCCAGATGTTCTTGCTCTTCCCTTCACCTCCTCCAGTAGCTCCAGAGCCCCTCCATGTCTCCCCTTCTTTCTCTTCTTCATTCTCTCTATTTCCTCATTACACAGAGTACATGGAGACATGGGAGGGAGAGGAGAGTGTTGTTAACATTTGGGATAAAATCAGGGATGGGGGTTGGGCACTGTGGCTCACGCCTGTAATCCCAGCACTTTGGGAGGCTGAAGTGGGCAGATCACTTGAGGCCAGGAGTTCATGACCAACCTGGCCAACGTGGTGAAACCTCATCTCTACTAAAAATACAAAAATTTGCCAGGTGTGATAGTAGGCGCCTGCAATCTCAGCTATTTGGGAGGCTGAGGCAGGAGAATCACTTGAACCTGGGAGGTGGAGGTTGCAGTGAGCAGAGATCATGCCCCCGCACTCCAACCTGGGCAACAGAGGGAGACTCTGTCTTTAAAAAAAAAAAAAAAAAAAAAAAGGAATAAAGGACTCCTTAGTAATAGTATAGTTGGGAACCCCTGTTCCAAATAACTTTCTGAAGGGTTTCCAATCTGACTTTGAGAGTGAAGGATGGCAGCAGCAATGACTTGCTGTGGGAGGCACTACAACCATGCCTCCCAGCCTCAGCAAGCCCTTGGAGCTGCAGACTAAGCCTCCAGAGGCATGGGGGTATGAAGCCCACAAAGGAGGGAAGAGTGCTGCAGGCAGAGGGCCATAAGCAGAGGCAGAGAGGCAATGACAGTGTGGGATGCATGCAGGGACTTCCCCAAAGCTCGGTGGCATTGGGGCACTAAAGTGTGAGGTATTACATGGACATGGGACTGGAGAGGTAGGGAGCAGCCTGGTCATGAACAGTTGTTTTGTAAACCCAATTAAGAACACTGGCTTTTATTCCGCTGGGAATGAGAATCAATGAAAATTTGAGGTAGGGGAGTGACAGGGTCAGATCTGCATTTAATAAAGATCACTCCAGCAACAAAGGGAATGGAAATTTTAGGAGCCAAGCCAAGCAGGGAGGAGAGGTAGATGATTCTGACAGTAGTCCTGGTAAAGTGAGGACATTATTCAAAGTGAAGGTAAAAAACATGGAAAAAAGCATTTTGCCTAATGATGGGATCCTATTTGATTAAAGCACTGGTTTTTCAATAATTAAGTCCACTGTTTCACACTTACACACGCAATCTTTAGGCCTCACAATCACAAATGGAAGTTCATTGGTACGTTGGCAATAGCACCTTGAAATCCCGAAGGATGAAAAACTCCATGGCTTTTTCTTACTCAGTCCAGATAGTCATTGATTTTCTTCCTCCTCAGATAGTCATTGATTCCCATTCCCAAAGGGAATGAAAGCCAAGGTTCTTAACTGGTGATATGGTTTGGCTCTGTGTCCCCACCCAAATCTCATCTTGAATTGCAATCTCCAGATGTTGAGGGAGGGACCTGGTGGGAGGTGATTGGATCATGGGGGCAGTTTCCCCCATGCTGTTCTCATGATAGTGAGGGAGTTCTGGTGAGATCCGGTTGTTCTAATAAGTGTCTGGCATTTCCCCTGCGCTGTCTCTCTTCTGCTGCCATGTAAGAAGCGCCTTGCTTTCGCTTTGCCTTTCACCATGATTGCAAGTTTCCTGAGGCCTCCCCAGCCCTGCGGAACTGTGAGTCAATTAAAACCCTTTATTTATAAATTACCCAGTCTCAGGTAGTAGTCTGAAAATGAACTAATACAATTGGGTTTGCAAAAGATTTAAGAAATATTTAGCAGGTAGGCTCAGATTTAGTGGTTGGTTGGATGGCAGTGGGGTTGGTTGGTGAGGAAGAGGGAGAAGTGTGGGATGATTTTCAGCCTTCAGACATGGATGATTGGATGAATGGTGATTCCAGTAAAGGAGATGGGAAAAAGAGATGTGGGTTTTGGCTGGATAGGTGTTGCATTTGAAGAGCAAGTAGGACATTCAGTTGAAGATGTCATGTGAAACTTGGGGGAAGCCTGGAGTGGAGATAGATCTGGGGTCTTAATGTGGGAATGAGGAAAGAAAACCATACTGTGAGATCACCTTGCAGAGACCTGGCAGACAGAGAGGCGCAGTGGCCGCATGGGGAGCCCACATCCATCAGAGTGTGGCTGGAGAGATCAGTGCATGAAGGAGACCCTGGAGGACTGTGCAGAGACATGGTTTGCAAGCTCATTTAGCTTAGTGCTGGGATCCTATTTTATTAAAGCAATGGTTTTTCAATAATTGCGTGCACTATTTCATACTTATCCATGCAATCTTTAGGCTTTATAATCACAAATGGAAGTTCATTGGCATGTTGACAATAGTACCTCAAAATCCCAAAGGACAGAAAAATCCATGGCCTTTTCTTCCTCAGCCCGAGGCACTGTCTTTCTGGGAATACTCCCATAGGGCATGCCCATCAGTACCTTGTGCAGAAACACAATGACACAAGTATGAGTGGAGGAAATACAAACACACAGAGACATTCATATACTGGGGTAAATGCTTTCCTTCCCAGAGTGGGCCACACCTATTTTCTTCTTTTTTATGTACTTATTAATTTAATTTGTTTTTATTTTTTGAGATGGAGTTTCACTCTCGTCACCCAGGTTGGAGAGCAGTGGCGCAGTCTCAGCTCACTGCAACCTCCACCTCCCAGGTTCACGTGTCCTGCCTCAGCCTCCCAAGTAGCTGGGATTACAGGTGCCGGCCAACACGCCTGGCTAATTTTTGTGTTTTTAGTAGAGACAGGGTTTCACCATGTTGGCCAGGCCGGTCTTGGACCCCTGACCTCAGGTGATCCACCCACGTTGGCTTCCCAAAGTGCTGGGATTATAGGCATGAGATTTTCCAGTATACAATACATTATTATTAACTATAGTCACCATGTTGTACAATAGATCTCTTGAATTTATACTTCCTATCTAACTGAAATTTTGTATCCTTTGAGCAACATTTCCCAATCTCCCCAATTCCCCAAGTGAAGTTTTTGTTGTCATTGTTGATTTGTTGCTTTTTGTATATGTGGTAGGCAGAATTCTAAGAATGACCCTAAATGACCCTCAATCTTGTATAATCCCCTGCCCTTTGAGTATGGACAGAACCTGGGAATGAGTTATCACGCCAAGATTATTTGAGTGAGCCTAATTTAATCACATGAGCTCTTTACAAGCCAAGAGTTTTCTCTGGCTGGTTGCAGAAGAAGTCACAGATCATTCAAAACATGAGAAGGACTGAACACACTACTGCTGGCTTAAAGATGGAGGGAACCATGTAATGGGGAATGTGGGAGCCCTCGAGAGGCTGAGCATAGCCACCATCTGCCACCCAGCAAGGAAACAGGGACCTCAGTCCTACAAGCACAAGGAAATAAATTCTGCCAACAATCAGTGAGCTTGGAAAAGGGCTCCAGACCCCAGATGAGACCCTTAGCCCCTGCTGACTCTTTGATTTCAGTCTGGTGAGACCCTGAGCAGAGAATCCAGCCACACCATGCTAGACTGCTGACCTACAGAACTGTGAGCTAATAAATGGGTGTTGCTTTAGACCCTCTTTGTGGTAATTTGTTACACAGCAATAGAAATCCAAAGCAGTAGATATCCAGCTTTGGATCTGCAGCACTTACTAAATACTAAAACTGTTTTTTGTCACATTGGGAAAATTCTCTGCCATAATCTCTTTGAATACTGTTTCTGTGCCATTCCATCTTCTCTCTCCTTCTGGGATTACATATATGTGTGTGCATTTGCGTGTGCATTTCTGTGTGTAGATTTTAAGTGTTCTCACCAAAAATAAATGATAAGTATAGGTATGTGAGGTGATACATATGTTAATTAGCTTGATTTAACCATTCTACAATATATACACATTCCAAGACATCATTTTGTACAACATAAATATATGCAATTTATATTTGTCAATTAAAATAAGTAAATTTTTAAAAATTCACCTAAACCTACCACAGGAAAATTTACACAAATTCTTCAAGAGAACAATAAAAAAAGAAACATTCCTAAATCACTTTATGAGGTCGAATATTGATCCCCAAATATGATACGAACATTATAAGAAGGATATTTACAGTCTAATATCTCAAAAATAAATGCAAAAATTCTAGATAAAATATTCACAAATCAAAATCAGATGATATATGAAAAAGATAATCCATAATAACCTAGTTGGGTTTATTGCAGGAATGCAATCCGGTTTAACATTTGAAAATATATCAATGTAATTCACCACATAACAATCTTAAATTTGTATGTACCCAATAATATGGCAGCAACATATATAAAACAAAAAATAATAATTACAATGAGAAAAAGACAACAGCAGAAGATTAAATTGATCTCACTCAGCAATTGATCATGCTGCTCTAAAATTAGTAAGATTATAGACAATTTGTAGAATGCAAGTAATATTTTGAGCCATGCAAAAAATATAAAAATTGAGGAAAATTAACCATATTCTAAGCAAATAAAGCAAGTCCCAAGTAATGAAAAAGTATCAGTTTCATACAAAATATACACAATGATCACATAAAATTATACTAAAAACCAGTAAAAAAATGCCGCTAATCTTTCTATATATTAAGGTCTTGAAAATATATTCATAAATAACTTGTAGATCACAAGGAAATTAGAAAATACCTAAAAATAAATAATGGCAATGTACATCAAAGTATATGGAATGCAACTAAAATGGTATTGAGAGGAAAATTTATAAATGGGTGTTGTGTTATTGATGTCACTTGGATGTTTGTCTCTTCCAAATCTCATGTTGAAATGTGATTCCCAATGTTGGAGGTGGGGCCTGGTGGGACATATTGGATCACGAGGGCAGAGTCTATATAAATGGCTTAGAAACATCCCCTTGGTGATAAGTGAATTCTCACTCAGTTAGTTCACGTGAGATATGGTTGTTTAAAAGTCTAGGACCTTCCCCAATCACTCTGTTGCTCCTGCTCTCGCCAAGTGATGTGCTAGTTCCCTTCACCTTCCATCATGATGTAAGCTTTCTGAGGCCCTCAACAGAAGCAGATGCTGGCGCTTTGCTTTCTGTACAGCCTGCAGGACCGTGAGCCAATTAAACCTCTTTTCTTTATAAATTACCTAGCCTCAGGTATTTCTTCATAGCAGGACAAGAACAGCCTAATACAGTTATAGACTTGCTATGGACCAATAACTCCCTTGTGCCTCCCATTTTTCTCCTGTTTGAACACAGACATGCCTATAGCATTTATCTTAGGCCTGTCCCACCATTTTATGTTTGTTGTGTTGGTGCAGATAACATCTCTTTAGTCTCACGGTAAAGAGAACTGCACCCAAGGAGTTGTATTTAAAGAGCTACTCCCATGGAGCCTCATCTGCACCTGAACTACTCATTTAGAGTGAGAGTTTGGAATCTGAGCTGATGCTGTGCCAGAATGAGATTTTTAGAGGCCTTGAGGAGGGGTGAGTGTATTCTGCAGGTGGAAGGGATGTGAATCATTGAGGACCAGAGGGTTGAATGTGGTAGGCAGCCTGTGAGGTGGCTCACATGATCCCTGCCTCTGGTATTTATTGTTGTGTACAATAATACCCTCCCACTGAGTGTGGGCTTGATTTAGTGACTCACTACTAAGGAATAAAATATGGCAGAAGTGATGGAATGTCATTTCTGAGATTAGGTTATGAAAAACGGTGGCTTCTATGTGGGAAGCTTCTTTTTGCTCTATTTCTTTCTTGTATTCTCTCCTTCTGGGAAAAGAAAGCTGCCACCTTACGAGCATGCCTATGGAAAAACTCAGGTAGTAAGAAATTGATGTCTCTGGCCAATAGCCACTGAGTACTTGAACCCTGGGAACAGCCACATAAGTAAGGTTGGAAGCAGATCTTCTGAGGCCTGCAGAAGCCACGTGAGTAAGCTTGACATCGTGTCTTCTGAGATCTGCCAGTAGCCTTGTGAGTGATCTTGGAAGCAGATCTTCTTCAGTTCAGCCTCAAGATAATTGTAGCCTTGGTCAAAACCTAGATTGTAGCCTGCGGGAGACCCCAAGTCAGAACCACTTCTGGATTTCTGACCCACAGAAATAATCATAAATGGTGGTTGTATTCAGCAAAAAATTAGGGAGTAACTTGTTACACAGCAATAGATAATGAATACAAACCCCAAGAAATTAGAAGGAATGAAATGAAACATATAAGAGAAATTAGTAATGTAAAAGTAAAGATATATAAGAAAAAGACCTGAATGTGAATGTTTATAGTAGAGTTATTCATAATAGTTTCCAAATAGAAACAACTGAAATGTCCAAGAGCTGGTGAATGGATAACAAAATATGATATACCCATATGGTGGAATATTATAATCCCATTGTAATTTTCAATTCCATTTCAGCAATAAAGGGACAAATGATTGATAAAACTACATGAATGAATTTCAAAGACATTGTACCAACTGAAAGAGGTTAGACACAAAAAAAACTGCATACTACATATTTCTATTCATATGATATTCTGAAAAGGACAAAACTTTAGGAACAGGAATCAGAAATCAATCCTTGGTTGTCAAGGGCTGGGAGTTGGAAGAGGAGATTGCTTGCAAAGTGGATACTAGAGAAATTTAGAGGGTGATGAAAATGTTCTATATATCAGTTGTGTGGTGGTTACCTGATTATACATTTGTCCAAAGCCATTGAATTGTATACCTAAAAGGAGTAAATTTTACTTTATGCAAATTGTGCCCCTCAAAGACTGAATTTTTTTAAAAAAGACATTTCAGAGAGAATCAGCAAAGCCAAAAGTTTTTTCGTGAACAAAATAACTAAAAAAGACAAACCTTTGCTGTAAATGAGACAAAAAAAATTATACTGTAATGCAAAAGGCGATACATCTTTAGATACACTGCGATTTTAGAAAATAAGAAATGACTGTATTTAAGTCAATAAATTTCAAAATGTAAGTTGAAATGGAAAGTTCAGGACAGTGAGGGTTATGTAGGTAATAAAATTGGGGAAAATTAATTAGAGGACTTGAGTGTATATGTAATATTTTATTTTTTAGGCATGGTGATGAGCAGGTAGGCTCATTCATTATATCTTTTCATATGTCTGAAATAATTTAGTAGATATTTTTAAGGGAAAGTATCATATGAGGTTTACAGACTGAATGCTTGCTATGTAAACCTAGAGCACAGCTTATTTAAAGACCTTATAATGTACATTAGCAGTTTTCAACCCTAGCTGCATATTAGACTCACCTGGGGGAGCTGTATTAGTCATCTACTGCTATATAACACATTATCCTAAAATGTAGAGGCTTTAAAAAACACACATTCATTATCTCACTGTTTCTGTAGCTAGCATTTTGGGTATGGCTTAGCTGGGTCCTTCGCTTCAGGATCATTCACAAGGCTGCAACCAAAATTTCTGCTTTGGTCTCATTTGAAAGTTTGACTGGGGAAGAATCTGCCTTAAAATGTGCTGATGTGAGGCTGGGCATGGTGGCTTATTCCTGTAATCCCAGCACTTTGGGAGGCTGAGACGGGTGGATCATGAAGTCAGCAGTTCAAGACCAGCCTGGCCAAGATGCTGAAACCCCGTCTCCACTAAAAATATACAAATTAGCCGGACATGGTAGCACATGCCTGTGATCCCAACTATTCGGGAGGCTGAGGCAGGTGAATTGCTTGAACCTGGGTGGCAGAGGTTGCAGTGAGCAGAGATCATGCCACTGCACTTCAGCCTGGGTGACAGAGCAAGACTCCGTCTCAAAAAAACAAAAAAACAAAAAAACAAAAAAACAAAAAAACACAGTGCTTATGTGGTTGTTGCTGGGTTGCTGGACTAAGGGCCTCAGTTCCTTGCTGGCCATTGTCCAAAGGCCACACTCAGTTCCTTGCCAGGTGGGACTCTCCAATCTGTCAGACTGCTTCATTAAAGCACCCAAGCCAAGAGGGGAATGAACAGAGAATTCTGTCAGCAAGATGGAAATCACAATCTTTCATAACCTAACCATTCTATA